TATAAAAATAGTTACAACCGTGATAAAATACCTTCTTTATTAAAATGGGAAATGGAAGTTGTACATTTGCCAAGATTTCAGACATATGGTATACGTTTTAAGGGAATTGATGGAGATCTTCGACACTTAAGATCCATGGAAAAATCACTTACTGAACAACTTGTACAAACTATGAATAGTATTAAATAAGCTATCATTATAACCTTGATTTCCATTCCTGTGAATTTTTTGTAAAGGAAGAAAACATTAAAATTAATAGTATACTACAAATAATTATTTTCTTATGAAATTCAACTTTCACTTCTGTGTAAATTTTGTTCGACTGATCTAACTACTAATAAGTAGATAAATATATTGAAATAAAATACTAAATAATAAACTCTTCGTTCTCAATAATTTAAGTCCAATAACAGATGAATTGATTTCTGGTTAGGCAAACTTATGAATACATTCCATTGAAAACTAAATAAAATATCTATGTAAACTTAGCCAATACTAAAGTATGGCATTAGGTCAATATAAACAGAAATGTTTTCTCGAATTTAATTTGAATGCTAAGACTAGGTTTGTTATGATCACTCATTAAATGATTTCGACCACTGAAATTACATCAAAAGGAATCTATTGTTATTGCATAATACCGGATAAAGTTTAATGTTAGCGGATTTCTTTATTTGTAAGACTAATGTAAGCTTTTTTAAAGATCAAAGTCAAACTTAGGGAAAATAGTCCGAAAAATGTTAACAAGGATTTGATCTACAAATCTACAACTGATACTTTACACTGATGCTACGAGAATGGTTGGATTATATTGATGTTACTTGAAATCTACAAAAAGTGACAATATGATTCTAAATCACTGACACAATAGTGAATTATTACGCACTAATTCTGGATGTTTTTAGTTGTGGATACAGTTCCAATAAGTCTTCCAAGAAGTTTAGTAAATGATCATGTATTAGTTTTGGGATGAAAAATTGGATATATAGAGGCCCAGCTGAACACGTTAGTGACTATACGGACTCAGTAACTTGGTTGATAATGTATCCATGCTTAATTGATAGGAATTACGTTCTGGACCTCAGTGTGAACAAAAACAATGGAATTCAGACACATTCAAATGACAAGTCCCAAATAAAACAAAATATACGTCCTGGATCCTACTGCCAGCTATGTACCATATATACTAGTTGTTAAATTCAATACCTCTTCATAAACTTATGGGTTTTTCTGATGAGTATGGGAATTAAAACTTCGCCTAAAGCCCCTCTGGGGTTACTGCCGGTCCCAAATCCAGATAAAGGAGGAGGGTTGTGCACGGGGTTAGCGTCCCCATCCCGTAGAAAAATAACTCGCTAAAAAACGCCAACCAGAAAAAATAATTTAAACCGCCTAAACTCTGTAATGGGAGTTAGAATGTCTTCATTTGGAAGAGTTATGATGTTTCATGATGAAAGCCAAGTTCCTTCGGAAGTTACGAGGCTAATACACCCATTCTGACAACCAGACACAATTGATTTAGGTACATGGAATGTTCGTACAATGTGGAAGACCGGGAAAGTCATCCATGTCGCTGCAGAAATGAAAAGAAACAACCTGGAGGTACTTCGAATCAGAAAAACACATTGGAGGAAGGTTGGACAACAAAACCTAGCTTCAGGAGAGCTGACGTTGCACTCCGATCATGAAGAAGAGAATGCTCCACATACACAAGGAGTTGCACTGATGCTATCCAACCAAGCACAAAAAGCACTTATAGGATGGGAATCTCATGAATCCAGGATCGTCAAAACCTCCTTCAAAACAAAGAAAGAGGACATGACAATGAACATCATCCAATGCTATGGGTCTACCAACGACTACAATGAAGACGTTAAGGATCAATTCTGCGATCGGCTGCAGTCAATCGTTGAGAACTGCCCAGTAAAGGACTTGGGCATTCTGAATGGACAACACCGGATATGAAAACATCATGGGACATTATGGACTAGGAGAAAGGAACGAAAATTGTGAGAGATTTGCAAACCTATGAGCCTTCAATAAACTGGTCATAGGCGGCACCATATTCCTAAATAAACGCATACACAAAGTCACATGGATTTCATCGGATCACACTACACAGAATAAAATCGACTATATTTACATCAATAAAAAGTTCATGAGGTCAATGTAGGATGTGAGAACCAAGAGAGGAGCTGATATAGCTTGCTTGTCGCCAATATGAAACTGAACCTCAAGAAGCACCGAACAACGGGGCGGACAACATCATACAAGTTTAATACGGCCTTCCTTCGGGATACTGACAAAATCAACGAATTCAAAAATAGCCCTCAACAATAGGTTTCATACCTTTCACGATCTACTCAATGGAAAAAGAACTCCTATGAAGAACAACTGGAAGGGGGTCAATGACGAAATCATTTCAACATGTCATGTTCTGGGCCATAAAAAGCACCATCACAAGGAATGGATCACTGTTGATACACTGGATAGGATCCAAGGAGGAACAAGAAGGCAGCAATCGATACCAGCCGAATAAGAGCAGAGAAATCCAACACACAATATAATTAGACACAAGTAAACAAGCAAGTGAAGAGAAGCATCAGAACTGACAAAAGTAAATATGTGGAAGATTTAGCAATGATGGGGGAAAATGCTGCAAGAGAAGGAAACATGAGACAACTGTATGACACAGGACAGTTGACAGACTCGTTCGAAGTGAAGACCGGTGTCAAGCCAGGTTGCTTACTCTCAACCTTTCTTTTTCTCCTGGTGATCGACTGGATTATGAAGATGTCAACATCTGGGGAGAAGAATGAGATACAGTGGAAAGCTAGGATGGAGCTGGATGATCAAGACTTCGCAGATGATCTGGCTCTTCTATCGCACACGCAACAACAAATGCAGGAGAAGACGACCAGTGTGGCAGTAGCCTCAGCAGCAGTAGGTCTCAACATACACAAAAGGAAAAGAAAGATTCTCCGATACAACACTAGACGCACCAATCGAATCACACTTAACGGAGATTTGAAAGATGTAAAAACCTTTACATATCTGGGCAGCATCATTGATGAGCATGGTGAGTGTGATGCAGATGTGAATGGACGGATCGGCAAAGCAAGAGCAGCATATTTACAATTGAAGAACATCTGGAACTCAAAACAACTGTCAACCAGCATCAAGGTCAGGATTTTCAATACAAATATCGAGACAGTTCTACTGTATGGGACGGAAACTTGGAGAATTATGAAAGCCATCATCCAGAAGATACAGGTGTTCATTAACAGCTGTCTACGCGAAATACTTCGGATCCGTTGGTCGGATGCTATTAGCAACAACCTACTATGGGAGAGAAGAAACCAGATCCCAGTGGAGGAAGAAGTCAGGAAGAGTTGCTGGAAGTGGATATGACACACATTGAGGAAAGCACCAAACTGCGTAACAAGGCAAGCCCTCACATGGAATCCTGAAGGTCAAAGAACACATTACGCTGAGAATTGGAGACAGACATGAGAAGAATGAACAACAATTGGATAAACCCAATAGACTACTTCCGGAATACAGGACATAAATCATATTCTATTTTGGACACATTAATAAGATATTAAAGGATTTATCTAAACTATGGAGACTAATTTTAAGTTGTCACTTATGGTTCCTAAGACTTTAAACAATGCGGCTTAAACCAAAGACTGATAACTGCACCAATTGTCATTGACTTTGTAAAATTAATTTTAAGCGTTTATCTACTCCAGCAAAAAACCTATTTTTCGGGCAAGTGCTGTTAGTTCTTTGGTCATGCACAGGACAGGAAGGATTAAAGGAATATATTCAACCATACATCCAGCGTTCTCTGTGTTTAAACATAAAATTATCCAGTACTCATTTCATTATTTCCTAAGCTCCATACCACTCTTAGTGTCTTCATTATCCATAGTTTATTTCTTTGCTTGATTCAGCGTAACTGGACTGACATAAAGGACAGAAAATCAAACGGTTTATCCATCCCAATATTTATATGCTACTCCCACTCCTCATATGCAGTATTATAAATGATGTGGGTTGGTGAATACCGAGCTAGTCTAATATACGCATACACGGCCTTCGATCATCCACTTGCATCATCCAGTGTGTTCTGAGATCCGAACTGTCATCTTGTCTGGTTACCAACTGTTCTGCCTTCGCCGTGCTTTTGATTAATTGAGCCTCTTCTCTCCGTCTGATGACTGTGACATTTTCGACGCCACGTCTCGCTACATACTACTCACAAGCAATCTTGTGAGTAGCGTCCGCCACACTACGAGTAAATATTTACCTTGTCACTATTCCTCTACGTTAGGATTGATTAGATCATCAAAAACAGCTCGTAATAGCTGTACACCTAATCAGCTTTTTAAAAGTACGAATTTAACTGCTTTTGTTAATTACCTGAAGATACAAAGGGCAGATTTTTATTCCCTGCAGTTGGTGTTAGAAGTGTTTGCCTATATTATTGACAACCATAAGTTTAGTACGAGTAGGCCATCTCTTAACTTTAATTTAACTATAAGAACCTTTAAGAGGAAAATAAACTGTTGAATAGTCACGGATAAATATTCTTTAAAGGTGTTCCTATCACTACAGTTTAGCGATGTAGACCGAGAAAATCTACCACCAGTTGATACACATCCACTTAAATGACAAGTCTTCATAATCGTTCCATTTTCGACCAAACGTTGTGACAAATTAAATAATTACATAGTTCAGCTCTGTAATTATGTATTAAATATAAGTTTCGACCATTTTGTGACTGATGATATTATCCAGGATTATAGCAGTATGTATTAACTCAAAGCATTACACCATTACTACAAGTCCTACATGACTTACTTAGGAACTCAATATTTCACCACATATAGCATAAAATAAAACACGTAATAGAAGTAGTATATACATACATAAGTACTGTATTATCAACAATCAAGAATATAGCTAATCCAGTTCTTTTGATAATTTCCTGTCTATGAAACTGTCTCACTATCTTGTTCTGTTTTGGAAGATTTCGCTAGATGAACACGCCAATACAATCCAGGTGTATCAGATCGACGAATTAAATAAGAATCTCGATCCAAATTTGGCTTTATAATTAATCCTTTTTTACCTGACCATTCATATGGAGGATACATACGTGATTTTTCCTCGGAAGTCGGTTCAATAGGAACCTAAATTAGATAGAAAAAGATAAGAAATATACACAGACAATACAATCAGGTTGTTAGGTTGAGGTGGATAAATCAGAGTGATAAGCTTTGTGAATTGTTTTTGGATACATTAGTATTCATATTTTGTAACATGCAATTTACTAATATTGAGTCTAATGGGTTTTCAAACTCCCAGAATTACAACTTCCCATTTGGTTTACTGATTTCAAATCTTTTTCTGTTCTCAAACTATTGTACACTAATTATATGCCCAGCATTTTAATTTTGCGCCCCGAACCCATTAGTTTAGTACATAATGCGACTTTTTATTTATGGTGCATTGTAACCTTACAATTCACCCAATTAATCATGTGAATTTATAAGCTACACATGTGGAGATTTTATCATTTGTCGCATACCTACTTTCAGATTGGGGATCAGTAACAGGAATTTTTAACATGTCAACAGGTCTGGACATCAGGTTGTTTAGTCGTAACATTACTATTATTCCTCAACTTTAACATTAATTACAAGACATTATCATGATTACAGTTGTTTTGATTGCATTAAAAATCTCTTGATTTGTTTATCTGCACCATTTAAACTTGTAATTTAGTTCGGTTTTCAATTTATTCTCTGAAGAAGCGATTTAAACCGAGTCCCGAAACGTAAGAAATTCAGTTTTCGACTCATTGAAATATTACAAATATAACGCCATTTTATCATGAATGAAGTTGAATTTAAAAGGCAAAATAATGCTGGGTTTAATTTCGAATAACACTTAGATACACAAACAGATATAGCATCAACATAGAGACTGGCACATATGTGGGTTGATTCAAGTTGCCACATTAGATTAGCACAATGATACGAAAATAATGAAAGAGATTGATAATGCAGTAGCAACTATAAAAAGAAACATTAAACCTTGAGAATATGGCATAGAAAGACAGAGTCAAAAGGTATATGTGACGGGATACTGAGATTAAAAGTCGAGAGGACGATAAAGAGTGAGTGCGCCGACGTATTTATGAACAATTTTGGGTCAGCAACTCCAACAATTGATCAAGATAGTAATGCGGACCCCAACCAAGTAGTCTGCATCGACCAACATGGCTGATTCTAATAGTTTGTGACTTCATGCACTGATGCCCCATTTTCGTTTAGCATCATTCCAACTTACTTTTGAACTATGAAGCATAGCTCGTTCGGGTGGGTTGTGTTTAGGCATACGCAACCTCATTCAATGAAGATTTACAAAAATGTCAATCAATCTATCATCTTTGCCAAGTACTCCATGGCTAACATAAACGTCACTCAGTCGTTCCCCAAAACACAAGCAATGCTTCGAACACATCTATGACCAAAAACCTTAACTTAGAGACAAATAAAATGACCAGTTACTAAAAGTAAAGAAGTATGAAATTCAAACGAAACAATAACGCTAGAAGTACGTGCGTCAACACCATAAACTATTAAGAGCGAGAATGATCTGAAGATGACAGTAATAAATCCGGGATACGGTCAGTAAAATGAAAAATTTGTGAGTAGGCTAACAAATGGAATGTGGTTAATGGATGAATACGAATCAGTTGTAACAAAGCAAAGCCTCTATGTTTGCATCAGACCCTCCTTGTTCATCAATGATGCTGCCCAGGAAAGAGTTTAGTGGAGAAGTTGTAATCAAACAAATTTTCAGTGATAATTGTAGATGAAAATGTAGAAGACGGTTATATTTCTTTCGAAACATAGTTCACATACAGATATATGAAGGAATAATATTCTTTTCAATAAATTCTCTTCAGGCTCTACAATTATATATCCAAGTTAATAATCCTAAAAATGGTCAGGTTTAAGGTAAAATGCATCGTTTAAAAATTATAATATGTGAATTTAAGACTAAAATAAAATCGTTAATCGAGATCATGAACCGATCAATGTTAGACCACCATTGAAAACCTGCAAGCACTGGACGGTCATTTCGTCCTAGTACGGGACACTTCAGCAGCACACGTCCACGGCCCCGCATGCGGAATTCGAACTCAGGACCTTCGGTTTCGCATACGAACACTTAACCTCTAGACCACTGGTGGGTGAGCACTGCTGAGAAGTCTCATACTAGGACGAAACGGAGGTCCAGTGATCCCAGGTCTTCAATGGTGGTCTAACATTGATCGGTTCATGACTTCAATTAAAACTCAACAAACTCCACAACCCTACACTGAAATTCGATAATGTTGGAATAACTAATATGAAGAGTTACCTTGATAAAAGTTTATACGTTAAATGAAATTGTGAGATAAATAATGATCAGAAAAATATGGTTAACGTAGGGTTAGATAGATAATAATGTAGTTGCAAATCAGAAATCAAGTAATATGTAGAATAATATCAATTAGGTACAAATTAGTAAATAGTGGTGGATGCTGAATACATTTTTCGAAAGGTATGCAAGTGTTTTGACAATAATGATACCAATACCAATAATGACAATAATAATATATGGAATTAAGTTTAAACTATGAAAATACAAAGAGGAGAGTTGTATGAACATTAATCAAATTATACCACCATATCGTCAAATGATCATTAACTGATTAGGTTAGGAGTTAGCCAAGATAAAGGGAGCGGTTGAACATATTTCTTCCTCCTTTTTGATCCCAATAGCTATTGCTTCAGGCGTCTGAAGAATTCATAGTTTAATGGATTTAGGCAGATTGCTGTCAACACGATACATCATTGTTAATGAGTGCTCCCGCTCGTACTAAACGAGCTAGAATCGAGTTGTTAATAGTTTTAACTATACCTTTGTTTAACCAAACTTGGAGGTGCTCGCGAGACTGAAAATACTGATTCCTGGATCACTTGCTAACATAGATTGCTCCACATGAGCAGTTGAATTGACAAACACAGAAGCAGGAGGCTAGTCTAGGTGATTTATCTTTCAATCTCGGAGTGATCATTGGATGTGGGGAAAACATTAATTGTAGTTTACCAGCATTAAGGATTCTTTTGATTGATTTATGCAACTTTAGTATTAGCATTTATCTGGATGCATCGCCTCTAAATTACAGAGTCTTGTTGACAGGCCTCCCTTACGCTCTCTTTTCATAGCTCAATGTTTATTTATAAATTTCTCCGGATATCCATTTCCTTTTAGAGTACGCAGTGTCTTCATTTCTTCTCCAACCGTATCTAAGGAGCAAATGGTCTGGACTCTGTAATGAAGTGTCTTAATTAAGTTCCTTTTATATTGTTAGAGAATGAAGCTAAGAAACGTTGTATACCTGCTAGCCCAAAAATTTTTCTTGTTTAAGCTTCTTCTTAGTGACCCATCTGTTTCCCTTGTAAGTACGACATCAAGAAAGCCTATTCTACTTCCATTTACTTCCTCACAGGTAAATTTATTAGACGGATGAACTTCATTAAATCGCTTGAGTGTCTCTATCTGGTCAGTATGGTCATTAAAAAGGATAGAAACTCATTTATATGCTGTACCAGTGGACCGTTTCCCAGTTTAGTGAGGAAAATGATAGCCAATATGGGGGCTAGTGGTGAACGCGTAGCGACACCATCTATTTGTCCATATATTTCACCACTGAATTGAAGTTTATGTTTATAGCATATTTTAGTAATAAATTGTTAATGATGTCCACAGGGATTATAGTCTTCATTTCTTATTCTCTAAGTTGTTCACGTATATTTTTGACAATATCCTTGAGTGGGACGTAAACAATGTAAGCAATGATGTTGTTTGAGGAGATAATCGTTTGTCCTTTAGTGTTTATGTTTCTGATCTTGATAATGGACTGGATTACATCCTTAACACTACGCTTCACTTGATGTTTGTGGTCCAAAATCGCTCTCAATGGGATATCCGGTATGAGCAACTTCTGTAGTCCGTATAGCCTTGGTAAATGGGAACCTATTGGCTTAATTGTTTCATATAAGTTTGAAGGGACTACCTGTTGATCATTAAACGTTTTTAAAAATATTGTAAGTTTATTCTCTATCATATTATTGATATTTTCTCTTGGAATTTTAGATTATCAATCAAGATTTTATTCATCTTGTCAATGTAGTCTTTTTTGTTTGGTAGGACAACTCCTGTTCCTTTTTCAGGTTTCGTAATAATCAAATTTTTGTTATTATTAAGTTTATTAATAGCTCCCCCTGTGTGTTTTTTTTTACTTAAAATGTATGTGCATTTGCATATACCGTTCTTAAACGGACAGCAGCAATCAACAACATTTGATTTGAAACGTTCAAGTTGTTGATTTGATTTTATTATATATTACTAAAAATCCCAAATTCACATACATTAATTTTAAACGATCAATTTTGCCGAAAGCTGACCACTTACTGAATTATTAATTTGGATATACCATTGTAGAACCTAAAGAGAATTTATTGAAGAGAATATTCTTTTTACATAATTTAAAGTTTTCTTCACTCCAGTTATCGCTGTTTATAGATTTCTTCATGTCACTATTGAGACATTCAGGACGTATAAAACTCTACAACAATAGACTAAATAAGACAGACCAATCAAAAGCATTTTTGAAATAGAGCTCAATTAATTGATTAATCAATTGTCTATATCCAATAATATTTCATCACCAGGCCTGTCATTTTAATATACAAATTCTTAATATCATTAAGTATTTTATAATCAATGAGTTAAGGATGCAGAATGTAATCATGTTTCTAAGACGGTGAAAATTCGGACTGAGAACATGGAATTCATTAATGTTAGGTTCTATAAGTTGGGTTGCTTAATCGTGAAACTTCATTGATTTTCATCAACACATTCAGTTATTCATAAGTGGCGTAAGCAACCTAGCACATACGTTCATCAGTTGAAGTTGTCATACACTGTATCAGCACGAAATTCAGGAAAAATGTACGTTTACAACATGGTTTTGCCCCCAGAAAGCTTTTGTTTCTTGATGAAATCTCATCCGACGTTTATGTTGTTTTTCTTGCGCTGAGAAAGCACAGTCGTATGACTAAGAAATGTCAAAATTTGAAGAACAGGAAATAAACTATACTTTTTTGAAGTTCATGAGAATAAACTTATTATTTTCTACAGTTTGTTTGAGATTTCTGAAAATATTTGCAGATTGATATCAGCCTGCTTAATGAACAATTGTTAACTATGAAAACTTTCAGGTATTAGTATAGATGGTGTATTTACCAACTATATTGATGGTGGCTTATTGTTTATTTTCGTATAGTTTAGTAACATATTCTAGGTAGTTTTTATTCTAAAGAAGTTAGATAAATAAACTATTTAGTATACAATAGCTTAAACCAATCGAATGTGCACCAACAGCACAAATCTATGCATGACAAATTGGATGAGAAAGGAATAATATTAACAAATAGCTCGTGTATACGACTAAATCTGTCATCAACCTACACGTGTGTGTTTTATTTTACACAACTATGAATGGTTTCATTTATTTATTTGAACACATAAATATTGGTACAAGGAGGTACCAGATACATATGCGCAACATAAATCTCAATTGATTTGTGTGAGGGCTGTGATACTGCTCGGGTGCCCAAACCTAAACAGGTGGTTTTCTTAGGGAGCCACACCCGGAGCCTTCGACCTGAAAGTCTGATCCACAAGGCAGTGGAGCATCGTAAGGAGATGCAGTCCCATGGTAGCCGGTGACCAACGATCGGTTCATATGCCATTTATTCCCTCAGGGTACTGGAGCCCATGTGCACTATTGGTTTTAGAATCAGGGTTTTTCAACTCCCCTAGATGGACTCTCCGTGTCCACTATGAATGAATAATTTTGGTCAAATTATATACCGCATAAAATCATACAGAGTAATGTTATGAATGAGTAAATAAACAGATATAGGAAAATTCGGGAGCTATTCATCAGTGAATCGGTGTAAATATTTTTCAATGTGCAATTTATTAAATAATTGATTTGTAGTGTTAGAAATTGTTCTAATTGTTAACTTTTATTTCGTCCATTAATAACAGTGATTTAATCGTTAACCTACTATTCAGTTTTGTATTATAGATGTCCTAGTTTTTCATACATTGAAATGTATTATTTATGGTGTATCATGGTTCTTTATTGTATACATATAATCGCATTGTGGTGTGTGCTACTGATATCAACAGATATAAGTAGTATGTATCATCAATCGTTAGTGAAATGCCTGGATGCAAATGTTTAAGAAGATTGAAGAGAATAAAACAAGGACAGGAAATGATTAGTGTGGAGACGAAAGAACAATGAAGTCTGAGACGATTGATTGACACTTTGCAAATGAAGTACTTAATATCTGGTTCTCAGACTTTACTAAGACGTTCTCTGATTTTGTGTTCACATACATTCGGTTGTCCCCACTTGTGTTCTCGTTCACTACAACATGCGTTTTACAGTTTGGATAATATATAATGATGTGCAGTACTTGTCTAGTCTTACTGTATTTCAGGATGGTAGTCTAGGTGAACGGGGGGGGTATCGATCGCTTATTACAAATAGTAGCTGCATAAGTTGACTCATTGGACTGAACCATGTTAATGGGTGTAGACTACCTGGTTGGGACCCATATGATTATCGTAGCCAATGGTTAGACTTTGAATGACATGTATCAAAACCGTTTGCGATGGGGCAGGTAAATACGTTCTTTGTTTTCCCCCAAATCCTGAGCTTCTGAATTCCTAAGAACTTTTTTTGTTTTCATTTCGTTAGTTTACATTTTCTTAAATCTTATCTTCGATGTCCAGTCATTTCTGTCACCACTCATACTATTATCACCTCAACTACTCTGGAATTCGGCCTGACAATTTCATCTCTCTGTGCTAATGGAGTATGTACACACATACCAGGTTCTACGTTGCGATTGGCTCACTCATTCACTCATAGTTGGTGAGAGAAAAGACAAAACAACTGGTAGGAAGTAGTAAACGAATTTATAAATTTTGTTTAAAAACCGAAACAATACTTACTTTGAAACTTGTCGGATCATAGCGGTGAGGTGTTAACAATAATAAACCACTAGCTTCTCTCATTGATTGTTGTATATCTAAAGAGTAAGTAGATTTTTCAGCTTCTTCCACTACTTGTGGTGGAAGTACATTTTTTCTTCGTAAAAATATTGTCAATAAAGGGGGAGCTTGAGCAACGCAGCTAACTGGAACATCCGGAGCGACCAAATCAGTTTTTGTTGACATGGACGTTAGACGTTCAGCTTCACTAGGTGATAGAAGACGCCAATCTGGTTCATGTGTATTCGGTAGGAGACAATAGCCAAGATTTCGGCCACGGAATACCCGTATACCCCATGCTCTACATCTAACATCAGACTTTATAAAAATGAAACCAGATAATTGATGATAAAATAGGAAATTCAGCAGCAAAAATAAACTCGTAAACGTAAACACATTCGATCAGATTATTTAGCATGAGCATATTCGAGTTACTTGAAGCAGTAAGTTATTTTTCAAAAGGTGATAAGTAAAACGTTTCAGTAGAAATACATGTAGTAGAACAAATTAGGCTTCATCTACACCAATTATAACAACATTAATCACTCAACTGTGATGTGAAATATCTCATCAAGTTCAATGAAATTAACATGATAGACTAGGTAATCGTCAAAATGACTATTTAGATGAAGTTTAAAAGATCTAGGCTTACATTTACACTCTATATTGAATACCTAGTTGACAGATAAGTATGTCGAAACTAATACAAATACTCGTTCCTAGAGCACATAAATGATGTAATTAAGCAGATAAGTGTAAAGTTCCGGAGGGATGGAGTAGTTGATGTGACTAATTAATTTCCCATAACTATACTGAACACAGACAGAAATCAGTTTTACAAAAGTTGACTGAGAATTCCATAAATCACCATCTTCGTGTTCTGAGTCCTACAGAGACTGAATTTGTATTCTGACTGAACTTTTGCTATCAAGTAAAGGTGAGGATTTTGAGTTGATATAAACCATTTGACTACGACTAGTGTAGGAATCAAAGGAAAGCACATCCATTCCAAAGTGTGTTGTTTCATCGCTCTGTTGGTCAGTATTTTCTAATATAGGAGACAATGAATGATGGACTTGATTTTCCCGTCTTAAGTAAAATTAATTCGAATAAGATCTAATAGAATATGAAGGCGTTCATGCAATGCTTCAACAAAAGTTGACTCATCCAGTCATTAAAAGTTTTTTTTTAAAACGAAACATAACAAGCTCTGCTTTGATGAAGAAAGTACTCGAAAATAAAGAGGTTCTTCGATTTAAATTGTTCGTTCTTCTATGTATACACAAACATTAATGACCGAAAACAGAACCGTTCTTTGGAACGCCATATATTCACTTTCAAATTTTGAGACTTCAATACTATTAAGTAGATTACTGAAGCTTTAGTTTGGCGATCAAAATATCTGGCCACCATAAATCATAAAAACATTTTTTATTGACTTCACCTGTTTCAATTTAGGCAAATAGGTGATATGCCCCCCAAATACCCTGGTACGGCCAAGAGTGGGGAGAGTCCGCTCTCCCTTTCGAAACGCTCTCACATGGCCACGCATATACAGCCTCTGTCAAGGAAGTCCTACTCACTAACTTCTCGCACCATGGGTGTTGCTTACGAAATTGAGGGGACGAAAAACGAATGTCCGGCGCTTTAACCGGGTTGGTGGACATGGAGAGTCCACCTAGGGGAGTTGGAAAACCCTGATTCTAAAACCAATAGTGCACATGGGCTCCAGTACCCTGAGGGAATAAATGGCATATGAACCGATCGTTGGTCACCGGCTACCATGGGACTGCATCTCCTTACGATGCTCCACTGCCTTGTGGATCAGACTTTCAGGTCGAAGGCTCCGGGTGTGGCTCCCTAAGAAAACCACCTGTTTAGGTTTGGGCACCCGAGCAGTATCACAGCCCTCACACAAATCAATTGAGATTTATGTTGCGCATATGTATCTGGTACCTCCTTGTACAAATATTTGTGTTTAAATAAAGAAAAGAAACAAGTAGGTGATATTAATATATGTATATCACTATTGATGAAGATTCATCAATCTCCATTCTTGTTCAACTTTGTCATTGACGTACTTTTAGAGATAACACTCTCCTCATCTAAATTTCCAGGGGTTGAACGTCTACCGGGAGGTTCACTTGTTGACTTAGAATATGATGATGACATAGTTTTATTTGGCGAAGACACTGACAAAATGCAGAGTCTTCTGACTACTCTAAGCAACAATGCAAGCATGTTCGGGATGCGATTCCACCCCTCGAAATGCAAAATGTTGCTTCAGGATTGGGTTGCATTGACACCCGAACTAATGATAGGGAGTGAAGTAATTGAGCGTGTCGATCGCTTCACTTATCTTGGAAGTTTCATCAGCCCTTGTGGTCTGGTGTGTGACGAAATCTCAGTACGGATACAGAAGGCTCGACTAGCTTTTACCAACTTGCGTCATTTATGGCGTAGGCGAGATATCCGTCTATCAACCAAAGGACGGGTTTATTGCGCAGCAGTTCGTCCCGTCCTACTTTATGGCAGTGAAACATGGCCGGTAAGAGTAGAGGATATTCGCAGGTTACTAGTATGCGATCATAGGTGTCTTCGAAATATTGCTCGTATATCCTGGGACCATCGAGTAAGTAATGCAGTTGTCAGGAAACGGGTACTAGGTAAGGATGGCAAATAAATAGACGAAGTAGTGCAACTTCATCAGTTGAGATGGCTGAGCCACGTGTTGCGTATGCCCAACGACCGACTGCCTCGACGTGCGATATTCAGTGGTATAGGAGTAGGTTGGAAGAAAGCTAGGGGCGGCCTGACCAGAACATGGCACAAGTCCATGAAGTCACTGACAAGTGGTCTGAGTCATGTCGGTAGGTGTAGGCTACCTGGTTGGGGACCGCGAGATGATAGCAACCGATGGTTAGAGACCCTGAATGACATGGCTCAAAATCGTTTGCAATGGCGCAGGTGCATACACTCTTTGTGTTCTCCCAAATTTTGATCTACTTATTCCTCCTTGTCTCTTTTTTTTCTCCTCTCAAATTCATTTCACTGTATTATACTCTTTAAGTAACATCTCCAAACACTAATCTTCCCGATTACTGCTTATACTCTTATTACCTCTACCACTACGGGATTTGAATCGACCACTGCATCTCTATGCTAATGTGGTGTGGCAACTCGAACTGATGTACGTACGTACGAAGTTCTACGTTGTTACTGACTGACTGACTGACTGATGAAGATTATTACTTGACAGCTGGTTAGATTTACGTTAGTTACATTACAAACCTGTAAATATGTAAACGATTGGATTAAATTTACCAAAGGCCTAAGATTTGAAGAACTGAAATATGCAGTTCGCATAGACAGAAGCATATTATTGAAAATATGACTAACTTTATCAGACATAAGTGGAACAACATTTTTTAAAATGTAATAGCATGGCTCCTTGAATTCTGCTGTTTCAGTTTCCTTTATTACTACTCTACCCTTGGCGCGGTTTTTAAGGTTTTTGGCTATTTCTGACAGGAGCTTGCCGTAGAAGTGTAAAGATGGACGACCAATATACTCAATTTTTGGCATAACAAGTCTTATTGGGATGAATAATTGGTTTTAGAGGAAATCGAACTAGCTTTTTCAGATCGAATGTCCAACAAAATTGTTCATCTAAATCGAGACAGAAAAATGGGTAAACAAAAAAATTGTAAATTTGGCGAAAAAAGCGTAGTATATTTACGTTAACTGCGTCACGACAATCCGAAATGTTACAATGTTATCCGGTGAAAAGAATGTTTGGAGCAATTTATTCATGGAGACGCTGGATGCATGGAAGGATGTTATGTATATGTTCATGGAATACCCTGTATCTGTTGCAATAGAATGATGAAGCGGTAATACCAACATTAGAGAAGCTTTTGAGAAAATTGAAATTTACGTACCGATGAGGTCCCAGAATTGAAAGCAAAAACGAAGTGAAGAAAGGAAAGTTAGTATGAGACGAAGAAGCACTAAATCCATTTTGATCAACTTACAGCCTGACACAAAGGTACATTAACTAATTCTTTTTTCCTGTGCTATGCAATCTTTCTTTTATATATTACCACCACTGAATTAACTACTTCTATGAATCCGGTATTCATATCGCTGTGCTAATGATGTATGGCAACATAGACCGATGCATATATGTGCCTGGTCCTACGTTGTAGCGGACATTAATCTAGGCTATTGCATCATATTAATGTGAGGTGAATTACCACGGCTAATAGTAAAGGGGTTGAAATATTGGTGTTATTAGTAATGATAAGGTCATATATTGGACATAAAATGCATGATCTAAAAAAGTTAGTAATGCTTGTCACTCCATGAGCAACGACTGAATAACTCAAGAAATAGGCTGTCATTCCTTTCGACGTAACCTACCACTACACACACAGTCCCATTTTCACTAGAAAAATACTTGTTGGGGCCAGCCTAACGCTCGACAACTGAATTTACCAGTATTGCACGTTTAAATAAAAGAGAACAAAGAAATATCCAAAGGATTCGGATATTTTTCAACGGTTTTGTATAGACAAAAAGATAATCAACGCATTTTCTCATAAACGATATGTCAGTTGCGCCTTGATTTAACCATGTGAACAGATTCCAAGACAAAAAATACTTTAATACTATATGATGAAACCAGTTTGTCACTGGAAACACTGGAAGGCCGGGGTCATACATATTTTGTGGAAGACTTAACACCGATTGACAATATAGATGGTGTTCGGGCATAGGATGCTCAGAGTGGCGAGAGATCAGAACGAAGAGAACGTATATGCTCGTCACGTTGATAAATAAAAGAACATGACACTAGTCAGAATCTCAAACCACCGACATAACTTTTTAAGAGCGCTAGACGTGAGTTACAGGTTTAGAGGACTAACTTTGTTAGAAAAGGAATAATCACCTGAAACTATTCTCAATGGAGCATAGAAGAGTAAGAAATAACTTAATAGTCGTGTTTAACATACAGTGGTTCGAGACACCATAGTAAAGTAGTCCACGTTGAATTACATCGCTGTCTTGGATAACATCAGCAAAGTTTTCTATCGAAGAACGAACTTACTTTATCAAAAATATCTATCTAGGATGCTCTCTCAAACGATGTGACCACAGCTCCCTTAGTAGATATGCAAGAAGAGACCGGACAATCTTGTATGTAACCATATACCATCCTCTTAAGCTTGTTATAGGAGTTGAAAACGTACATTAAAATAAGAAAACTGCTTCGCACTCATTCGTCTCATTCACATAAATTCCCGGAAAACTACTGTTGTGATGTTTTTTTTAATTAAGACTTATGTACGTTATTTACACCTACCTGCCTTTTATACTATCACTATGTAATTATTTCCATGTATTTACTTGTTCATTCATTTCCACATTTTCCCTATCTCCCTGTTGGAAAAATCCCTAGTTTCATAGAATTTCCCAAGTTCGTGCAAAATTTTGGGTTTTCGTGCCATTTCCCAAAAATTTTCTATACCATCTGACCCAGACTTACGAGACTGGGTTGCCTTCATATACAAATTCACTTGATTTATAACAGCTCATCACAAACACATAAAGAAGAATACAGATTATTCATGCATTACAAGTGATGTCAGTTTTTGCAAAATATCTAACTAATTTTCCATCTAAACCACTAACTGAAATTAATAACTCTATCCTGAAAACCATAAGTGAGTTGGATTTTGTTATCACCGGTGATATTCCTGACCTCAAAAACCGAGTAACCATCTTAAAAGACATTTAATATCAATCCTTACCAACAATTACTTAGTTTTTTTAACACATACACTCAATTTAGGGACGAAGACTTACAACCCATATATGACCTCGACTTTCAAATGCCATACTGAAATACTGTCAAGTAAAACAAAAACCCAAAATGCAGTAACTTTCATCTTATTAAACAAATTTTAAAAATTTCGTCTCTAATTTTGCTCGGCTGTTATTTGTAAGTGTTACAGCCGTTCTAGCAACTGCTCAGAATCATCTGCTTATTGCAGAATTCATAGTTTTCCCCCATCTTTACGAGTCATATAAAAGACGTATCTCATTTGTTAAGCTTTTCGATCGACATATTGTCTCTACTGCAGTTGAGCCCGGTTAGCTCAGTCGGTAGAGCATCAGACTTTTAATCTGGGGGTCGGGGTTTGAGCCCCCCATCGGGCGCAACGGCCGGGGTCGAGTGGTTAATGACTGGAACGCCTCACCCGAACAAGTGGTATCAGACCCATCAGCGAATATTTGTAAGGAGAAACTGGACCTTCACTGGAAGGCAATCTGTCAGGATTAACACAGGTTCACCGACCTACTATCCTTATTACTGAAGACTGAGTTGTTGATATTATGATTTGATCAAATTTGATTACCTGTTCCAAGTTCATAGTGTCTATATTGTTTTGTCGAGCTAGGTTACACTTTACTTAGTACCGGCTACCTGCGTCGTTTTTCTGAGTCTTCGTATTCATATTTATTTAGATCAGTTGTCTTGAAAATTGGCTTTTGATCTGTTGTGTGTTGGTAGGTTGTCATGTTGTTAAATGTTAGTAACAGCCTTATGATTCGCTGGTGGAGGTTAGGTTGTTTTACTTCAAGCCACTTAAGTTCACACAAAATGATAAATAGTCTCAACGAAAACTATCTTATGTATTTTCCAGTGCAGTTGACTATAAAAAGAGTCAATGTAGTCAAATTTTCTCGGTTTTGTTTTACCGTATTCGATTATCACATTGATGTTTGAAAAATCCCGACCACATATGTTTTCACCTTTGTTGTCTTTTAGATCGGCTAGTCATCGGGCGCACATGTTAAATATCCTCAATTATGTGATCATTCATCATTATGCTACTCGGCTTATACTTCAAGAATATCGGCTCGAACTCTGTTCTACCGTACAGCTGTAAAGCTTTCCGTATATATATTTTGGAAACGTGGGAAACTTTGGAGCACAAACGAAATGTCACCACAAAACTAACAAAAAGCTCCACTTATCAATTACTTAAAATCTAAAAAAGAAAACGATCGAAATGGATTGGTGCAAGTCTCAATAATGTTATCTTTTGCCAATGTATCGATGAAGTGAGTCTTTGACATACAGTAGATAAAATAGTCAGTAGTTTCTTTCTGTCTCTAATCATAGCTTTTACTTCATGCTCCAAAGTATTTCCGTAGTTAGGCGATAAATAATCAGAATCTAAGTAGTCTGTAGAGATGGCTAGCATAATTATTTCACAAATACATAAACAGAGGCTCATATTTTCTAGAATTCCACGTAATTTATATATTCATCTTCATAGACCACATAGTTTTTTTTTTAGTTAAACACCAATTTTCAAGTTAAGTGTTCCCCTCTGTCGCATGACATACTGATTGTCGAACACTTATACACTGACATCCATATATTTTGTGCTTATTCAGCTCCCATTCAGACATTAATAAAATAATCGCTATACACATGTACAAATTTTATTTGTGTCTATATTACTGAATTACCTCAGATATATGTCGCTTCGGATTATAACCCGTATATAAAAATAATAGTTACCTATTATAATTATAGACTTCATGACCCAAAAAACCGAATACGCTGCTCCGAACGATCAAAGCAATGTTCAGAATTTCACCCGTGTATTTTTATATTTTTATATTATTGGTTATTTCTACAATTTCTAGCGAAACATTTATCATTGTTTTGATACTAGCATTTAGAATTCGCTACAATTAGTTCTTGAGCTAGCGCATAATTAAGTCTGTTTTTCTGATTATAAAATCGTCACATTGTTTATACATATTTTTATCTTCATAATCGTCAATATTTACATTCAGATATAATTAATTCCTTAAATGATAACACAAACATCTAAAATTTATCCATGAAGACTTCCGTTGATTTGCCACGAATGTTTGAACCGATACTCACTGCTATTAACGCTGCATATGATTTCAGACTCCCAGGAAACAGAACAGGAAACCTAAGAATCTGGTTTATTTAAATAAAACCCCTGTTTTAGAAAAGTTACTCCGCTGTCAACGAACCAAATACTCACAAGTCATAGGTGCACTTATGACTGAAATGTTACGAAATTTCAGAATAAAATCGCCCTGCACCGTATACTTGAGGCAGCCGTTATTCAGTGTATGTCGCTCTTTGATTTGAAGAGGCAACAACAATTACTAACCTCACGGGTTCTGAGAACAAGGAATCATCACAAACTCTACGACTTATGAAACAATTAGTGGGGTCATGCATGTTAGAAGGCGAAGTGTCATAGCTGACGTGAAATTTTTGTGCTGGTAATTATCCATCGTTTTATCTATAGAACAGACCATTCTGGTGCTCGCAGTCAGCGGGTTCTCTTTTTAAACAAATTCAACCGCATTTAGTATGAAATAAGAAATATAATCCCTACGTGAAATGAGTAAGTGATTAACTACACGACCTACAACTTTTTTACGGTACCAAGATGTTTCCGGTAAAATTTCAGCGACCCAACCCAAATTCTTACACCTTTAACGGTCAACTAAACGACGGT